TGTGAAGTTACTAGTATAAACCACTTAGTGACCTGCTTAGTGATTCATAGTGAAAACTAAGTCTTACAAAAAATTCAATAGATTTTCATTCCTCTAGTTACATTTATAACTTGTAGTCTCATGGATTTGAAAACTTCTCCCAGGTGCCTCTTCACAGGAAAAAAAACCCACAAATTGTACTTTGACACAAGAACAAAATAAATCAGAGTGCTCAGTCTTACTCAGAGTTATGTCAATATGAAGAGGCCCCTGCAGCAGACTGGGAAACTTAAGGTATCTAGGGAATCCAAACTACAGGATGACTCACGGGTGTGAAGCGTACAATGTTCATGTAACCGAGGCCAGCACCTGAGGAGGACAAGATTGATGGTCGACAACAAAGAGGCAGATCCGGAGGCTTAGCAAGGGCACGAAGGGCAGGTAAACGGATATGATGTCGCACTGTTTTCTTTTACATTATCTTACCTTGAATACCATGTCAAGTACATGCATTTTAGTCAAATTAATCATGTAGTGTCGTAATCCATCACTATGAACAACGAGGCATGGATCTGAAGAGAAAGTATTAAATATTAATAAGCATTAAATCATATTTGGCAGCAAGTACTCGACCACATAAAGTGATCTTATCAGAAGCAACAATTATAGGACTTATAGGATTAGAGCTCTATTGAACTGGAGCCGTTGCAGTACAGACGACCCACTACGCTCAGTGCCACAGGACCCATCTGCTCATCCAGGAGAAGGTCTGCTGCTCCATGTATATATGAAGGGTGAATCTGGTGCCATATTGCTTAAGGCTACAGATTCATTAACCTTTCGAACCCCCCTCGGGGCTCCCTATTAATACCTGCATCTGTTGAGGGAGGGGAAAGATGTGACGGACACACTGTGCGATACACTCGGCCAGGTCATGGCTAGTTCACTGGACAGGGAGCCGCATGAATGCTAACCATTAGGCTAGCTTTGTGTAAACGACTGGGCTTTGTGCTCGGCAACCAGCTCCCAATAACTCATCCCTGCAAAGTGACTCGTCTCTCATTTAGTCTTTGGCAAGGACCGAGGCACTTATGGAGATAATCAGCAGCTGGGCAGCACCCTGTGACGAGAGCGCTATCACAGAGCTCGACATGAGGCTAGATTAGGCCGACGTCCAATCCATTAACAGTATCATGAGTATGTCCAAAGAGAAAGAGAACTATAAAAGCATTTGCATTTAATTAATCAGCTCTCAGAATTTGTTTTGCCAGGTTTAAGGGTGACTTTCTAAGACTGCCTCTCAAAGTCAGTAACTGCTCCAAACAGATATAAAAAAAGAGGAAACAGGATTAATTGTCGGGCGACATATTTGTCCTCGTCTTGCAATAATGTTAGGTAGACCCCCCCTCCCCCTGACCCTAAAATCAACATGGGTGCCGGTCACTATTCAGAGAGATTTATGGAGCTATTATGTTGAGCAGAAAAGCACTCAATAGGTGACTGACAAGGCAGAGACTGCCTGCTGTGCCTGCCATTATAACTCTCACTTATAGCAGTCTGCTTAGCCGAGTGAGCATTGCATGATTGGTTTAAATTCAACCAAGCGGGTGGCGGGGGGGAAGGTAAACCATTTCCCCCAAAGAATCAATGATTGGCTTTTCATAGACTGCGTTGTTTGTTAATGTATTACTAAGAACGAGCTGCAAAATCATTATCTTTTATCTAAAGTAAATATAATTATATATATATATAATAATATTAGCTTGTTGACGTCCTGTCCGCTCACTTGCTCCAAAGTTCAGCTCTTTTGGTGAATTTGCATGGCTTCACTGGTATATAAGATACTATAAAGTAGTGTTGGCCATGTCACTGGGAAAATGTATCCGTTCCTCATCACGTGTTACTGATTGAAACTTTACCAATAACTCACACACATAAGGAGTCAATCATCTCAGTCCAGCATTAGAGTTTGGAGGCATTCGTCATACTGATCATCAACAGCTAGCTTGATGTCCCGTCCTCACAGGAGTTCACATACTAGTCCAGACTCTGAATCCCATATTTAGCACCTGGTTTTGTTCAAAGTCTAAAGCATTAGAAAGAAAGCTGAGACAACACAACATGTAAATAAATCAAATTCCTCCACTTCTGGTAGATGCCAACTGCTTTCTTACACCTTTAGCCAAGCTATCTAGCACAGTCGCTCAACTGAACGCACAGATAACTGACTTCAACCAGTGACATCCGACTGTAAATCTGCGTATATAAAGGCTAAAAATACTGTGCAAGAGATAACATAGAACCGGTTAGATGTTGAAAATACAACTATTATCATCTTTTCTAGTAGCAAGGCTGTGCCGTTATCATCTGCACCAACAGTATATTTCAATATTGGAAAAAAAGACAGTAAAAGCAATGAGCCTCACGCTCCATGAAATCAGTTTTACTTTCATAAATCTCCGTGAAATCCTCGTTTCAATTGCATTCGGAGCAGCACGCTGACAAAGGGCTGATAGGGACTGACCGCTAAAGACAGAGCGATCTGCTGACACAGGGTAACAACCCTTCACATCTCTTGGCTCTACGTTTTGGGGACTAAATTCCACTTTTACAGCATCATAAGTTCCAAAATTTAC